CCTCTGGTGCAAATTACTGACCTCTGTCATCATTTTAAGTGGGGGAACTTGCACAATCGGTGGCTGACTAAATACTTTTTTGCCCCACTGTATGTGTACAGAACAATGATAAAGGAAAATAGCTGCACCCAGACAACCCGAGTGAGTCAAGAAAACAGAAAAGCCTAAGCCACTTATTTACTGAGCCAATTTTTTTCTCACATTCACATCGTTTCTTGTTTTTATACAGCCATGTGAACTTCTGCAGTGACAAACAGGCTTTCATTGCCTCTGTGCAGTTATTCCACAGCGTTACTCCCTTGACTGTAATTCTGTGATATTTACTCTTGGTTCTTATTGCCGGTTTATTAAACATATAGCTCCTCTCAGTGCATGATGTTTTTGTCTTCCTTCAAACAAACATTCGAAAGACTTGGGGATAATGTATGTTGTCTTGCTTGCTTTGTACATAATTTGGACTCAAGCTTAAGCTCAGCTGGGCAATTACATTTCTGTGAAAACTGCTGGCATAATGCAAATGAATGTAAAGTCCAAAACGTCAAACTGGTTCTTTTGATACAGCTGCTTCATTAGTGCCTGCTTACTATTAATGTTCAAAGAGCATTGAAGGTTTTATTAAATGTAATGAAAGTAGGCCAATGCTGCACACTTACCTACTGCTTCAGTGTTGATGGGGGTTTAAAATCCAATCTTATAACATGAATTAAAGAATTTTAACTAACGCAGTTCACTTGTCTGTCCTTTGTCTCACATTCTTACCACTCTCCAGTGTTTATCCTCTGGACTTTCTTTGTTTCTCCTTTTATCACAGCGTTACTTCTTGTTTTTTTTTTCTCACTCCTACATCATCTCCTCTTTCATCTGTGGTGTTTGAAGCAACACCTTTTCCCTTTTCTCATCCCTCCACCTCATTCTTACTACCTGGTGGCTGCACTGTGCTCCTAATGTCTTTCCTCCTCAGTTCTCCTCCACCTACATGCGTCCCATTGCCATCTATACGTGCCTTCCTCAACTCATTTCAATTACCGTTTCCTCCCTGAGGCTGTGTCACTCTCCCTGCTCACTTTGCTCTATAATGTCTCCCCCTGCCTTTTTGGCTTAGATTGTATTTTGCTGGTGGCA